ACACATGTTTTATGGGTAATTTGGAGCGTAGAACACGATGGTGACATTCCTTTTATCATATGTGTACGTGTTTGGCTTAAAAAGTTCAATTTAAGAAATGCATGTATCATGGTCGTGAAGAAGTCACGAGAAATTCCCAAGATTCAGTTCAAGATTTTGGAAAATGCGGAACGATAATCAATAATCGAAGATAGCCATTTGATTGTTCATGGTATTGGCAGTCTAATGGCGTTTACGGCATGTCTGTATGTCTATTCTGTGATTTTATATGATTTTTTGAACATATGCCGTTTTTGGCCGAAAACTCAGAAATCATGACGTCACTAAAACCTCGATATCTCAAAAATTTTCCGACCGATTTTTTTGAAACTTTGTCACAATACACTTTATTCAATTCCCTACAGGTACCCAAAATTTGGCGCGCCTGCGGCGCGCCGTTTTTATGCTATGGACCGGCGAAAAAAGTGGGGGCGTTTAACGCCCCCCCCCAGCAACTCGCGGGATAACACGCCCTACTGGGGGGGGCTCTCCATAACCCCCCTCCTAACTCCGAAACTACTGGGCCGATCGTCAAAATTCAAACGGCGTCTGATAGCCCGGGAAAAACTGTCGCGCAAACCTAATTTTATTGACCTCGAGGTTACCGATGACGTCAGAGGTCAGGTCAAAGTAAAATTATTAGCATTTTGGCTTGTTCACATTTTGGGCTCTGGCCGCCGTCGTACAAGTCAGATTAGGCTCGTTTTTGGTTTACACACTCGTGAACAGATGCTCTAGATACCCTGAGGGTACCGAACTTGTACTTTGATTTTCAGGTCAGGGTCAGGTCATCACAGGTCACGGAAATATTATACCATGCGTCGGTCAGGTGACACATGTTTTATGGTCCATTTAGGACCATAAAATATAAAACATGTCCATTTAGGACCATAGGCCAATTGTCTATATGGACTCTCAGCTGCTCCCGGGTCATACACAGCGCCTCGCCGACTGAGCGTAGCCAGGCGACAAGCCAGCCCGTCACCGCAAGAACGGCGCTGCCTCCCCCCTCCCCTCCTCCCGACCCCGTCCCCCGACCGGCGCGACATTCCACAGGTCACAATAGTGACTCCCTCCCTCAGCTGACCCGTCCTCAGGTGCGGTGTACACTGGACAAATACCTCTGCCGGGCTGACGGGGTCCATGTTTGAACAAGGGATTAAGGGAAGCCTTCAAACATCTCAGACGGAGTTTTCGCCGAAACTACCAGCTAGCGCCATCCACCGGTGAACGGCGGTACTAAACTTCATTCGCTAGTTCCCGAAACGACACACCATGTAAGAATGTTTGATAATCACTTGGCTGATGTTGGGAGTGACTTTCACTGCTCTGATGTTGGAGCGATGTCAGTGGGATGTCTGGTCGCTGTCCGACGGATGTTTGTGCGTGTACGGACAACTGTTTGTGTCGGCGTTTGTCAGTGTTTGTGTCGACATTCGCAACTCGAGGATGTGCGGCACGATGAGGCTTATTCGGCCCAAATTGCCGCGACTATTTGTGGTGAAGTGCTGGTGACAGGGACCACGCGGGTGCAGCCGGGGCACCCAGCGCTGCAGGAGTGCAGAAGGGGTGCAAGAAGGCTGCAGGGGCCATGAGGGCCGCAGACAGGGTGAAGACTGAAGAATCAGATTGGGTGTATACTAGCGATGGAAGGATACAGGATCATTGCGCAGCGCAGAATAATGCCCGCTGGTTGGCAAGGACATGAGTCAATGAGTCATGAACATTAAACAAATAGTTTTAGCCCGCACTCCGCACCTATACATTTCTCGCTTACTGCAAGATCGTCAGTCCATTGAACTGGCTCACTTCCTCACGTGTCGAGTTACGTGTTCCTATACGTCCGCGGTTAGAACTCCACTTTTCTTGTTTCCCTGTAAGCAATCACGGTCCTTCAGAGTCGTTCATCAAGTCCATTGAGAGAACCTCTGGTCGCTTATTGGATAATTACGCTTATTGGGCGCTCGCACGCTTCCTCCTACATCTCTCTCTCCCTCTCTCTCTCGCTGTCTCTCTCTCTCTCTCCCTCTCCCTCTATCCGCTCTCCCTCCATTTTCCGCGGTCCGGAAGTGTCCACTTTACCGGCGTGCTGTCACGACGTTCCTCCAAAGCACCCTCTGCATTCACCTGCCATTGTGACACTGACGGACGAGCGATACACCACGCTGGGTGCTCAGTGCACCCACGCTGGGTGCCCACTGCCCAGTGCACCCACCAGCGGAAATACCGCCAGTGGCCGGCACTAGTCCTGGACTAGCGGACAGCCTTCTTTGTCGCTGGAACGGTTCCTGGCCGCTGGGCGGGCACAGCGACGCGCGGTTCTTCCGGTAGGGTGGCCGGTCGGCAGCTCGGACCTGCCCCAACTCCGGATATGAAACGGAACGGAACGGATGGGTGACGGTAGTGAGTGCGCCGCGGGCTTGGGGGCATGACGGCTATCAACGGGAGCGTGAAATTACCTGTGTATTATTACGCCTAGCGCTTCCTTGCGCATTCTAGTTTTTTCCAGTCCCACAACTGACTATGCGATTCCTCGATGACTTCCCATCAACCAAGTCTGCTCGGTCTTTTCTGTCGGGCTCCTCTCTCCCCATCTTTCCTTCTCCCTTCCTTCTTTTCTTCTTTCTTCTCCTTCTCTGTGTCTTTCTTTCTTTATTTCCCATCTCCCGTCTTTTCTCTCCCCATTCCTTCTCTCCCATTCCCCCTCCCCGCCGCTCCGCTAGTCTACCTCTCTCCGTTTTCCTCTGGTCGGGTACCGCCGCGTTGTGAGTGTTGCAGCTCGACCGTGGCCGCTAGTCGGGTGGAGCGGCACCGACCGGCCCACTCCACCCTCCGTGACCTCACTGGGCTGACCCGGCCCTGCCCCGGTGGAGGTGGGGTGGGGTACCTGACCAGACACCCACTGGACGGGTCGGTCCCGACTGGGCCAGACTGGGTTATAGCCTGTTGGCCTTGCAAGGGTGGAGGTGCATCATCATCGGTCCGCCCACCGCCCATCGCCAGCAGTCTACCGCCCACCACGCGTAGCATGCCCTTCCCCCACCGGATTAGCTTTTTCCATAATCCTTCAGCTGACCTTTCCGAAAGGTCTTACGGTAACCTTTTCCCATGAGGCATCCGCATATCTGCGAGGTATTATCAGTCAGCTTATCAGTCAGTCACCTACCACCGCCAATCGCCTTATGCATGGTCTACCGCTCATCGTCCAGTGGTCGATGCCCACAGTTCATCACCCTGCGACCACCGTCCACCGTCCACCGTCTACCGCCCACCGTTCACCGTCTACCGTCCACCACCCACCGTCTACCGTCCACCGTCCACCGTTCACCACCACCGTCCACCGTCTACCGTCCACCACCCACCACCCACCGTCTACCGTCCACCGTCCACCGTTCACCACCACCGTCCACCGTCTACCGTCTACCGTCCACCGTCTTCCTTCTACCGTCTACCGTCCACCGTCTACCTTCTACCGTCTACCGTCTACCGTCTGCCATCCACCATCCACCATCCACCATCTATCGTCTACCGTCTACCTTCTACCGTTCAACGTTTACCGTCCAGCGCTCTCCACGGTATGTGTCAAGACCCAACGTCCACATTGCCAGTCGGATCCCAGCGTTCAGTAGGCGTTTCTCCTGAGTGCGTGCCCCACGTGGGGTCAAAAGGCCATGTATTTAGGGAATGACAAATGGCTCCATCCCCCGTACGCTCCTGATGCGTCACCGCGCTGACGGGGATGAGGCGAAGGAGTGGCATTCCGCGCCGTTTCCGGCCCGTTAGTGTCACCGAGCTCGACGGTGGGTGTGTGATAAACAAAACCGGCACGGAGGACGCTCTGCTCTGGAGTAGACCAGTTCTCGGACCGTGCTGTCGGTCCTAGCGAGCAGGGAAACGCACGGCTGGCGGACGCCGCGGCCGGGATCGCCACGCCGCCGAGCGTGCAGCGTTATCAGCTCACAGATGTCTGTGGTTGCAGCGGGGCCGGCGGCCACTCTCCCTTTTCCTTTCCTTTCGCGGGCTGTGCTGTCACCACCTCTACCTGTGCCACCGTGCATCACGACTTGTGAGTTCAAGTTGTAAAAGGGGGCAGTGGAGGCGTTGTATGACCCGTGACCTGTACCTTAGGCTCTGTGACTGTCTCCTGTCATCTCCAACACAGCCTCTGAAGCTGAGGTGTGTGTCACTCCGTGCTGCACTCCTCGGCCGAGGTGGGGGTGGGGGGTGGGGGGGGGGAGGGCGTGTCTGGTGTCATGCCCATGTCTGCAGCTGTCATACCATGTCTTGTCCAATGTCCATGTCTGGGGACATCAGCCGGTGTCAGCGGCCTCTCGCCCATGTCCAGAGTCTCAGCATGTTCCGGACATCACTACGGCGAGGCACCTCGTCCATGGCTCTGTCTTGGTGCCTTCTGTGACTGTCTGTGACTGCTGGTGGTCAGTAGGGTCTGATTTATCACAGGCACCAGGCCTGTTTTGCAGTGATACGCTGCAGTAGGAACGCGGCAGGCGGCGGCTGGGAGCGGAGATGGAGAACCGTATACGTGACTATCGTATACTTCACTGGGCTGACCGGCCATTTATCTTCCTATTCAGTTTGTCCGTCTGACGGGCGCATATGTATCTTTCAGCGGAGTGTGAGTGGCATGGCTGCGTCCGTTTGACGCCATCAGTCTGACCGTCGTCCCCAGTCCCTGTGTTTCAGTGGTGTGCGGGTGGGCAGGCTTGATATTTCGCCTCTCTAGTTGACGCATGTTTCCGCATGGATCAGCGGTCTATGACTGGCCAGGCTGTGCTACTTTGTCCCTCTGACGGTTAGGCATCTCTCCGTGTTTCAACTTTGATATGGGCAGCCATGGGCTGTCTATTTCGTCCCTCTGACGGCTGCCCCTCTGTTTCAGCGGTGTAGGGGTGGGCAGGCTGTGGTATTTCGCCCCTTTGACGGTTGTCCCTCTGTTTCAGCGGTGTACGGATGGCCGGGCTGCGTCCGCCACGGCCTGCCTCTAACCGTCGGCGACACAGTGCACATTCTGGAGGAGAGTGGCGGCTGGTACCGCGGTTATACGGCCAGGAACAGACACCAGAGGGGCATCTTCCCCGCCAGCTATGTCCGCGTCAAACGCAGCAGGCCGGACAGCGACGGGTGAGTTAAGCTAGAACGCGATGGTTTTGAGACTCCTGCAGGCAGCTCCTGCAGACTCCTGCCTAACACCGGCAATGAGATAAGCTATTGCCCGGATTCCCCCGCCATAATTGACACGATCGGCGTAGTTCCTGTAGCGTGATATCGTATATTATGTAATCACGGGCGGTGATTCAATATCCGGTCCGACTCGCGGCACGGTTCGCCGATCGAGACTCGAGTAGAAAACGGCGACAATTGAAGCGTCGGCACAACAGCTGACACGCCACTTGGAGACGAATACATGCGTCGGTCTCTCCCGTCTCTGTCTCTGTCTCTGTCCTTGCCTCTGTTTACCTGTATCTGTCTCTGCCTATCTCCATCTCATGTCTCCGTCTCCGTCTATGGCTTCCGGTTCCCCGGTCTCTGTTTCTGGACTCGCACTCTGGTCTCTGCAACACAAACACGCCTGCAGCCTGACCCAATTATATACACACCCCAGGCACTAAGGCGTGTTGCTGTGCAAACCATGAACGCAGCCGGCAGCGGAAATGACGGTACGTAAACCATGACCTCATCCTCTATTGAATTATTTATAATGGCCACCCATTGCTAAACAACCCTATCCATTGCTCAGAGTGCGGGGGATTCCATTTGGCGAGTCGGCAATGCAAGGAATGAAATGGCATCACCCATCCAGTGTAGCGAACAAACACTTTGCTCTAGTGACAACATGCCCTGTATGTTTCTCCACCCACTGCGTCTCAGCGCCGCACCGGGTCGGTCCCCCGTGGGGAGGTCCGGCTATGTCAGATGAGTGACGTGTTGACCTTCCGGGACGGAGAGTGTGTCACCAACTGGTCCCACACAGACAGGGAACAATGACCGAGTGAGTCGACAGGTGACTCAGGTGTGCGTTCATCACTGCCTACAGGGCAGAGGCAATGTCTCGACAACGAGACAGACTCCGTTTTTTTTTTTGCAAAACGAAGCGGAATGGACTGATAGAAGACCTGTCGCTGGTCACCAGAACGTTCCTCCGATGCTGTCCTGCCCCGGTCTATTTGTTCCCTGAGGTGGTCCTGCCCGATCCACTGCAGGCCCAGTCCAGCATGTCCCTGTTTCGCGATGCATGGTTTCCAGTGCAGCGGTGGTGTGGTCCCCGGTCCCGTGCAGTGTGGTCCAGCCCCGTTTCACTGGTCCTGCCCCGTTTCAATGGTCCTGCCCCGGTACACTGATCCAGTGCAACGTTGGCCTGACCCTGGTCCTCTAGTCCAGTGGAGCAATGGTCCGACCCCGATCCACCGATCCCAGCAGGGGCAGTATGCTACACACGGTCGGCAGTGCTCATAGGTCACCTCACCAGCGCTGTGTATGCAGAGCCCCATGTTGGCAGGCGGCTCGGAACTCCATCTGTGGCCCGACGACTCCGCTGCCGGAATACAGAGCGGCCGTTCCCAGTAGGCAGGCACAGGAGTCGCGCCTGAGAGGGGCAGCGAGACGACCCACGGCCTCAAGCGCGCTGGAGGTGGGAGGATCTGGGAGGACCTGGTCCCGGGAGGTCCAAAGACCTCCGCAGCGCCTCGCTAGGACTAGGTCTCTGGATTCTGGACAGCAGGGCGGAGCCTCCTTCGACAGCTGATTTCAATCATGCGTCTATGGCTTAGAGTGTTTCTCCTAAAATGGACTGCAAACATACTCGTAAGCAGGCGCCTCTCAGTCGTCAGCGCCCTTCGTTCTATGCATATTTAGGCACTCACGGGAACTGGGCTGTGTGCAGACATGTCTTGGCCGTTCACTTTGCTGCCTATTACCTATTCAAGGACAGCTGTGTCAGACGCATGAGCTATTTTCTAAAGCACGCTTTAGAGAAGCCGAGCAGGTCAATCAACAAAGGATGATTACTTTTTCGCTGGGATGGTGTCTTTTTCGTGCACGTGCCAGCAAGGGGTTTATGTAAATGAAACTGTTCACTGCAAGTTTCAGGAAATTACTCCACCTTAAATCCTTGAACTAGGTCATTTTGGGAATACATCAGCTGCCTACAGATAAGTCATTACAGGCTCGTTGGCATCTATACCATACCGGCCCTGCAGGTCTCTGGATGTCCTCCCGGCAGCTCGGGCTGATGAGCGTCCGAAAGGCTGCAGGTTCCAGATCCCGGGGCGCACACACACACATAAACAGTCTGTCACAGCGGCCGGTTCGGACGGGGGTAAACAGAGGCGGCTCTGTCCGCCCTTCCGTTAGACCCTCCCTTCGCTGGACCCTCCCTCCCCCGGCAGCACGTGCCGTCGACACCGGATGTGCTTTGAACGGAGGGGGTGCTGTCGGGTGGCTGCTGGGACCCGAGCACGCAGCTGACAGGGATGCTGAGAAAGGTAGCGTCTACGAGGGGAGGAGGGGAGAGAGAGAGAGAGAGAGAGAGAGAGAGAGAGAGAGAGAGAGAGAGAGAGAGAGAGAGAGAGAGAGAGAGAGAGAGAGAGAGAGAGAGAGAGGGAGAGGGAGGGAGGTGAGGGAGAACGAGATATTTTGTGACATTCCAGGAAGAATGATTAAACCGCAGTGCGTTGCCAAGTGCCTACACGCTCAGCTGTCGAGACAGTTGACGACGTTGTCAACGCGAAGAAAGCTCGCTTGTCTCTCAGCTGCAAGCTTCGATACATGATTCACTGGCTGTCCGGAACATTTCTGACCTAAAGCCAATTCCTTTGGGAACACATTGCTCCATTTTCTGCATATTCCGTGCAGTCCTTTCACTTTCAAACCATGTCTCTTTCTCTCCTGAGCTCTGACGCGAGTCAGAGCTGCTATCTTTTCGATCTACTCTAACCGAACGTTCCTGGTTTGACTGCAGCCTCCGATGGGGTTCGCTCCGTGCAGCCTAGCTGTCTTACACCGCAGCTCGCTTTCCGAAGTTGTCCTACAAGCTCGCTCCTCTGCTATGTCATACCCCCCCCCTCTCCCCGTCTGTGCCGGTACGGAGCCAGCTATGCGTGAGGGTCGCCCGTAGGTCGCCCGTCTAGTCGCCCGTCTTGTCACCCGATCAAACCAGCCGCTGCACCCGGTCAGACAGCTTTCACTTTCCGATCGCCGTGCGCTGGTTGAAATCCGAGATCCGTGTCCCGCCTGGAACGTGTCGGAGGAGAGAAGGGCTGCGTGGAGGAGGAGGGATAATGTGACAGGTGTCCTCAACAGTAGCCGGTCACGTGGCAGATGTTCGCCGCTAGTAGTTGGCCGAGTGACTGGTGCCATCCATTAGTATTATGTCACGTGACTGACGTTTTGCAACAGTGGTCAGTCACGTGGCTGATGCCTGATGTTACAACCTGGTCACATGAGTTAGTGACAAGTTCAACTCGCGGACAAAGTGACTTGCAATGTTCTAGGTAAGGGAATCAGAAGGCGACGCTGGCGCATGTCCCAGGCTGTGTCGACTGATTCACCGATGAGTGATCGGTGGTAACGTCACTTGATTCACCTGATAGGGTGTGACTGATAAGTGAAGGGGCTGATTTCTGAGAGCGAGCCGGTGAGGTCACCATCATTCAGGAAAGTTACATCTGAACCTTACGTCTGTAGCAGACCTTTTATTACATACTTTAGATCGTTGGAACGTTCAGGCAAAATCAGATCAGCAGACTCAATAAAAGGCTGCATTGGTGCTCTCTCATTGTTACCGCTTATACGAATTAAGTTATGTTTGTAGGCTTTTTGTCCATTTTTTGTGTAAAACGATAACCAGTAAATACAAAACAAACAGCAAATATCAATCAATTAAATTTCAGAGGATTTCTAATTCGCTTAATTGTTTTTGGGATGATACTGTAAAACAAAACTGATGCTTTTTTCGACTAAGACGCTTTTTTGTCTTGGATTGTGATGCTTCGACCCTTTTCCAGATGCCATATTGCTATGCATATTGTGCCCAAACCGTAGGTAAACATCATTTGAGTTATAAATTGACAAATACTTTCGATAATGTTTTTTTTTCCAACCCGTTCAGGTTGCGCTGGTTTTATCGAATAGTCAAAAAGCCGTCTTTCTATCGTTTTCTTCATTCGACCATTTCATCCCATCGAGAGTAAAAGTGACAGGGGACAAGAGTGGAGTTACATCCACTCTCCCCAGTTTCCCGAGTCGCCCTGTCCTGTTCTCAATGCTCTGCAGAATACAAAGCGTCTGAGGTCGCCTTTCGGACATAGTTTTACACCTGCGTGCACACTTTCCCTCACGAAGGCTGCATACTCGGTGAACTGCGCTCTGTTCAGCTCCGCGACACTACTCCCGTATGGTGCAATATAGCCTTTGTCGGCGGAGCCTTTCAACCACTCCTGAGCTGCGGAAGTCGTCATTACAGACGCGCTTCTGGCAAATTATAAGGCTATGACAAGACATGCGAAATAAATAGGTATGATTGATGGTGTTGCGTATGCAACATACCTTTGCCTAGCATGCACTTTCATGACATGCATTGCATTGCATGTAGGTATGTTTGATAGGCCAATGGACATTTATACCCTGACAGCTCACTTTAACCTGTTGAAGTGTATAATTAATCGAGGTTGTTTCATGTGATTGTCGATGATTTGATTGCAAGACTTGCTATGAAACTTTGATTGGCCCATGTGATATGTGTTTTCCTCGTTGTAATTTTTTTATTTATTGATGGCAGGTTTCGTGGAGTTGCTCTGACTGACTTTCCCCTATCTCTCTCCCACAGTCCCCAGATCTGTCCGCTACGGACCGAAGATGTAGGCTGCGTCTGTGACTGACATTTCTCGCTTCTCTCCTTCACAGACCCCAGGACCGTCCGCTGCCGGCGGAGGATGAGGTGGCCACAGAGGTGACACAAGTACTGCGAGAATGGAGTCACCGCTGGAAACAGCTCTACTTGGTGAGTACCGACCCCTCTCCACTCCACCCTACAGGCCTAATTAACTCATTAACACACTCGCACACGACACCAGTCGCGCCGCTGCGCGCGTGGGCCGTTACGTCATCGGTCAGTTCAGTAGGGCCGCTGTTGACGCGTGCTGCGCGGACGGCCGGGGGGGGGGGGGAGAGGGTTAATTAGCCGTGTCCGCTCAGTGACTGCGACAGGCGGCCGGGCGGTGTCGGTGTCAGTGTCAGTGGCGGGCGGCCGGCGTCACCCGAGACCCGCTGCTCTGACACTCATTAGCAACCGCAGCCGTGCAACAGCACGCTGCTAATGCACTGTGGCGCATGACCGGTTGGATACAAATGTGCGCAGTACGAACATGTCCATATCGAAGCTACGTTTTTCAAATAATTACGTCATTCAGATATTAGTTGGAAAGTGGAACTGACCTGAACGATAAAGTGACAATTATCCTCTATGAAGGTCGATATGGGCGGGAACAGAACGGAAAGACACTGCTGCATGTGCCAGGGGATACGATATACGTTAGATTTGTCCTTCCCAATGGGCACACTGCAGGTTTACCTACTACCTAAGTCATCATTTTCACATCAAAGATCAGTGAGTTGGGGAGGCAGATGTCATGCCGCTGGGCTAATGTGCCACTTTGTCTCTACATCAGTGCAATTGAATCCTTGTCTCACTATAATACTGTCTCTCTACCACTGTGTCACCGTATTGCCGTCTGTCATCCGTCTGTTTCACCGTCTGTCACCATATCTCTCTCTGCGTCCCAGGAGCGCGACACCCAGGAGGTGTCCTCGCTGTGGAAGGTGATGCACGAACTGCTCGACTGGCGGCGTCAGCTCATCACGGGAACGCTCACCCAGGACCAGACCCGCGAGCTGCGGCTCCGAGCCACCGCCAAGGTTGACTGGGGAAACAGGTCAGTCAGACGCCGCTGCTACGCCGCATTCGGCAGCGGTCAGCATCATTACTCTTGACAGTAACCAACTGTACATAGTGCTCTGACATGACACACTACTCAATGATCCAAGGAAAAGGTATAGTTTTGCTAATTTTCTTGACTGCCCTGTCCTGCCCGGGCAATATCTATTATTTATCTCGGTGCCCTATGAGCTGTCAGTAACCATGTTCTGTTCTTACCGGGGCGCCCGTCCGGTTGGCTGCCCGGGGGATTTACGACCGCGCCCGGCAGACCTGCAGCACTGAATTCCGTCACTGAGCTAGTGCGATCGATAGCCGTCCAGCTGGTCTCTTTGTGTAGGGGGCGGCGACCCGGCCTGTCGCGAGCAGGCACCTTCCACGAGACGAGAGATGATGAAAGCCAGAGGGGTCAGACGGCCAGACTGCACGAGATCCAGCTGCTTCGATAAGCGAAATGAGGTCCCGGTGGCCGGTGTTCTGGTGAAGTGCAATTTGGAATTAACTATATCGATCGTTTGCACTTACCGTCACGCATTGATCGTATTATCTCATGTTTACCTTTGATCTCGTATTTGACCAGGGTTATATATCAACCGAGAAGTTTGTGTTCCAACTCTAAAAGTCTATGAAAACTGTTCATCATGATTGGAAAGTCAGCACTTCTCACTGACATGCTTCTGTAGCTGAAGATAAACGCGATGCTCAGACGCTATCATTTAATGCTGGTAGTAATTGATTCTGACACTCAAAGGTGATGAATTGGCCCTATTTGCATGCTGCTGTTAACGAAGCCTTTTTCGTAACTAGTTCGACCACGCGAGCATGATGGATATCACCAGATCTTTTTCACCTTATTTAGATGTCCGCTACCTTACCCCTCACCGTGCATCTCAATCGATGACGGAAGATACATTCCTTCTTGCGTGCGCCATCACTCATCTCATTGTCTCACTGAATCGGCGCCACCGGAGCAAAAACGGCGGATGCTAATCCGCGCACTTAGCACAGCGCTGATCGATGCCTCATCATCATACAATGTCTGTATGGCGGCCGTCGGCGGTTTTATGACTGGTCGGCCGCCGGAGGTCACACCGCCCCCGGTTCGGCCCCGTATCTGATGCTAATTGAAACCCGGAAGGCCGATACGATACACGGCACTCGCCTGTGATGTGTGGAGGAGGGAGGAAGTGTAACCGGCTCTTGCAGACATGATGGGTGGTATGTAGCGCGGTAGATCACAAGAGAAGGCGAGGGCGCCGACTTTCAGCTTCCAGTCTCCAGAGCCGGATCTGAACAACTACCTGAGCTAGCCAGTCAGAGGATACTTCCTCCAGGGCGGGCGGTCAGGGAAAACACAGATTGAATCGGTATTTAAGAGAGGAATGCTCGCGCTGCAGTTAGTCAGATAGTATTTCATTGAGTATTTTGAATTTGAATGCCGGAAGGCTCTGAACTTAGTAATTCAAAATGTTCATTGAATATTTTGAATTACTAAGTTCAGACCCTTCCGGCATAGTTTCAGCTTGTCGATTTTATTACTTTACGTCATAACATCAGATAAGCGCTGAAGAGGTCATGCTGCCGATCCAGCTTCGCGAAGAGAAACGATAGATAGGGCAAATGTATGGTGACCCACTGATCTGATTGATGTGCGAACGGCAGCCGCTGCACAGTGCACATAACAGGTCAGATATTATATACACAGTGCACGTACTTACCAGGCACAGATTCTGACCGGGTTTCTGGCTGCCTCATTCTTATCTTTGCAATGCTGCTGAAGTCTGATATGCCCCTGCTCCCTATAGCGCAGCAGTGCCGTAAAATTCAGCTGCACCGACCACCGCCCGCGCTGTCTCCCTGTTCGCCCAAACCTGCTCTATTGTGGCCCTGCTCCTCGTGCAGTGCCATAAAACTCACTGCACGCGACCCGCCGCTGCCTCCCTGGTCCGCCGGGCGGTAATCCGCGGCTCTAGGCGGCCTCCGAGACGGATTAGTCACTGCAGAGCGGTCTGAACCGAGTTCCCGCCGCTCCACTCTGATCCTATCAGTCCGACCGGCGAGCGCCGGAGAGCGGCCACACCGAGAGTTATGTGTCATGTTATGGAACAGCCTCGATACGGTTATGAGGGTTTTGCGCGGAACTGGGCGATTATTCAGAGGTAGCAGTCTGGGGATCGGGTGGGGCTGGGGTTATCTCCTGGTCCCCTCCGGCTATACGCTCAGTCAGTAGGCGACGGGAAGTCGCCTCGGTACAGATTATATCGACAGATTAACATAGTCTGCTCATGAGTGACGCGGGTTTTGACTCATACCCCTGGCTAGACAATTTGCTGATTCAGGAATTCAGGATTCCGGAATACCTAGATCTTTGTGAGCAATGCTGCTCTGAGAAAATCCAACGCGGATAATGTAGGAAACAGGAACAATCTTGGTATAGATTAGCTGTGTTTTCAGTCCTTCAAATTACATGGTTTCTGTTAGCTAAGGTACTAACTAATGCGTTCTTTTGAACGAGTTGAGACGCCATTGCACTCATAGCCCATGGTGCAATTGGTTAGTTTTTAGCCTCGTTCTAAGTTATCCAAAAGGGCATACCATGGATAATGCGATGAGTTATTCCATTAGTAACTGCCCAGCCCTCATCATGCGGTGCTATTTCATAACTGCACTGCCCCTATAGGCTATAACCAGTCGCCTGTCCGAGTGCCGTTTAGACCCTGGCCGTGTCTTGCAAACCAGAGTAGCTAGGTCACGCTCCAGAGGCCATTTTTCATACAGTGCGTCCGCAGCAGGCGATACTGCCGTGCAAACTGCATAGTGCACGGTGCATATTTGCACGGTGCACGTCAGTCGCACGTGCCGCGGGTGCCACC